GAAAAAGACAGATGCACCCCTATGTTTATTGCTGCACTATTTACAATAGCCAAGAAATGGAAGCAACCTAAGTGTCCATCAGTAGATGAATGGATAAAGAAGATGTGGTACATATACACAATGGAATATTATTCACCCATAAGAAGAAGACAAATCCTACCATTTGCAACAACATGGATGGAGCTAGAGGGTATTATGCTCAATGAAATAAGCCAGTCAGAGAGAGACAACTACCAAATGATTTCACTCATATGTGGAGTATAAGAACAAAGAAAAACTGAAGGAACAAATCAGCAGCACAATCACAGAACCCAAGAATGGATTAACAGTTACCAAAGGGAAAGGGACTGAGGAGGATGGGTGGGAAGGGAGGGATAAGGGCGGGGAAAAAGAAAGGGGGGCATTACGATTAGCATGTGTAATGTTGGGGTGGGGGGATGCAGAGGGCTGTATAACACAGAGAAGATGAGTAGGGATTCTGCAGCTGATGGACAGTGACTGTAATGGCGTTTGTGGGGGTACTTGGTGAAGGGGGGAGCCTAATAAACATAATGTTCTTCATGTAATTAATTGTAGATTAATGATACCAAAAAAATTATTGATAAAATTGACAAGTCCTTAGAAAATTTTCTAAGAAAAACAAGTTTCAGCTAACAAATATCAGAAATGAAAGAGGAGACAGTATAACTGATGCCACAGAAGTAAAAAGACTCATATAAAACTACTATCAACAGTTATATTACATGAACATGGAAGAAATGGATTAATTTTTTAATAAATACACAACCTACCATGTCTGAATAATAAATTTAAAAACCTGAAAAGATCTGTAACTACTAAGGAGACTAAATCAGTAATCAAAAATCTGCCAACACAGAAAATACCAGGACCAGATGGTGTCACTGGAGAGTTCTGCCAAACATTTAAAGAATTCACATGAATCCCTCTCAGGTTCTTTAAAAAAACTGAAGAGGACACAGCACTCCAAAACTCATTTTACAAGGCCAGTGCTACTGTATGCCAAAATCAGATAAAGATTCTCTAAGAAAAGTATAGATGAATGTTCCTAAAGAATATTGGTACAGAAATCCTCAATTAAATCTAGCGAACTAAACTCCACATATTAAAGGGATGCAGCATGACCAAGTGGGATTTATTCCTCATGTGTACCCATAAGTCACCATATGAAAGTCAGTCAGTGTGTTATACCATATTAACAGTGATGGACCAAACTACATGATAATTTCAACTGATGCAGAAAAACTGTTAAATTCAGCCCCTCTTTCTTGATAAGAACATTCAGCAAACAAGCAATAGAAGGAAACCACCTCAACAA